CAGTGAAGCACTACACTGAGCAGTACCAGTACAACACTGAAGTACTACACTGAGCAGTACCAGTACTACACTGAAGTACTACACTGAGCAGTACCAGTACTACACTGAGCAACACTGAAGCACTACACTGAGCAGTACCAGTACTACAGTGAAGTACTACACTGAGCAGTACCAGTACTACAGTGAAGTACTACAGTACCTGTGAACCTTCGGCAGTTTCCTTCTCCTCTCGTGTGCGTCCTCCTTCGGTATTCCACCAGTTTGTCTTTATTTGTCTTTATTTGTGTCTACTGCGTCTCTACTCTCTGCCTCCACGCGCCGCGGAGCACCAATCAACGCAGCTCTGTCCTTAACATATTACCCAGCAGGCTGTGCGGCGGGAACACTTCTCCCGCTGTGTCCCACCGTTCAGATCGAGACCCGGGTCAAACGCGACAGAGACTGGGTTTAATCCGCCATCTACCCGTCTGTCTGTCTGTCTGTCTGTCTGTCTGTCTATCTATCTATCTATCTATCTATCTACCTACCTGTCTGTCTGTCTGTCTCTAACAGATTTTCGCTTTTCATTCTCTTCCCCTGCCCTTACTTCCGGTCCTGCCGCTGTTTCCGCTCGATGATTCGCTATTTTCTCCAGTGATCAGTTCCCATCAGATCAGGTCACATGGTCTCGGATTCCAGTCTCGCTCCAATTTCCATAAGCAAGCACTTTAGGCCTGGTCACTTATTTATAAGCACAATTTTTCTCCAAATAGATATTTTATACAGAACAACAAGGGTGTGTGTTACAAAAAGAAATCACTATTTTTTGACAATTGGTTCAACAATGGTATTGTATTGGTGAGTCAACTTTTCAATAAGGAGGGTAAGATTTTCAGTTACCAAGAATTTCTCTATCATTTTAAGATTCCTGTGAGCCCCAAACAATTTGCTATTGCCTTTGATGCCATTCCATCAGGTGTTATCATGCTCTGTAAGGGTCATTCTTTTCCACCTTCTGATGTGACACCTTCACTTGATCCAGTTGACACACCTATTGGAAAACTGTTTTATGCCTGCTTCCTGTAAGAGAACAAACAATAGGAATATCTGCAGCTTGTTCCAGGCTGGTTGTATCTCTGTTCCTTATGTGATCACAATCTGGAATGGTTTTGTTCAGGATATAGAATGGGACAAGACATGGACTCTTCCTAACAGATTTCTACTAGTAAACAAAGTTAAAGAGATTTCTTTTAAGATCATCCATCGTTGCTATCCTGTCAAATCATTTATAGTAAGATTTAAGAAAGACATTGACGTAAACTGCTGTTTTTGTGACATGCAACCGGAGACTGTCTTCCATCTGTCGCTTCATTTTGGACTTTATCCATGATGCTTTTTTACTTTGTTTTCAGGATGTATTGTTTGGGTTCACAAATTATACAAGAGCTCTAGAAAACAATTTTTTTCTGTGCAATCTCATCATATTACTTGCCAAATTTTATATCCATAAATGTAAGGTGTTAAAAACGAAACCCTCTTGTTGTACTTTTAAGAAGGAAGCAGAGTCCTATATCAGAACATTATCTACCTCATGTAATAGTAAAGCTGTGAAAACTTTCAATCTGTCCTCCAAATTTAACATAATATCATTTTTAGTATACTTTTTAAAAATATTTCTTTCTTACTATACCACTTTCAGTTTGTATTTGATTGTGTCAAACTCTGTTTATAACCCCTGGCGCTGTGCATATTTGTTGTCTGTCTTTGTTAATTATGTTGGGCTACTTCTTTTGTGTCTAACTTTGAATATGTAATGTAATTAATAAAGAAAACTGACCGGATGTACTATGGGAAAACAGAGAGTCAATTCAAAGGCCCTATCCCAGTGCCCCTGGTAACCAGGGCAACCCCGTGTTTAATAGGTGCGTTCGACTACGCACTGCGCATCGCCGACTCGACGTCATGCATGCTGGCTAGAAACACTGGAATATATATATATATATATTCTACTTTACTTACTTTACGGACACTAACAGGTTCAAACATGACTCACAGTGAACGAGTTGCTATTGTCTGTGACATTTTCCAAAGAAGAAAGTTCATTCAACTGACTGAAAGCTGCTTCAAAGTAAGAGTCCTTGATGTGGAGTCAGAGGCACAGTATTTGTCTTTAAGCGTGGTGGAGTAAAAGTCAGGAGTTTCCAAAAAGAATAATACTCATAGAAATACTTACATATTACTAATATTCTTGAGTACAGGACTGAAGAAAATGTACTTAGTCACTGTCCATCCTGCTCTGTGGTCGTTCTCTATCTAAGGGAAACAGTTTATTTGAGCTCCTCCTTCTGATAGCTTTTCCTTTTTTTTCTCCATATGGACATCAACACTTCAGTTTTCTTTTCAAGCAGAAAGCTGTGAAACAGTTTAGATCCGTTTGTTTCTGTAAAAGAAGTAATGTTCTTATAGGTCATATTTTTATTCTTTAGATTTCTTCTTTTCACCTCCTGACAACACGTGGCTT